TGACCAACGTGTTACACGCGCGTCAGCTGCCGCTCTGCAGTCGGCCGGGTGCGGTGCGCGCGAGGAGACCGCCCCGAATTAACGCACACCAACCAGCGTACGCGACGGCGAAGAATCTCGTGACGATGGGGAGAGAGAGAGAGAGAGAGAGAGAGAGAGAGAGAGAGAGAGAGAGAGAGAGAGAGAGAGAGAGAGAGAGAGAGAGAGAGAGAGGCGGCGTGGCCCCGTCCCCATCACATTTAAGGCACGAATGAGTGTTTGATCAAACAAAACCCTAAAAATTGGAGCCGAACTCTTAACACTTAGAAATGAGCGCAGATGCGTGCGAGAAATTGATCAAAAACACGTGATGCCGTTTCGCGCCAGGCAAAATATTTCGTGCGTTTGAGACGCGCTAAGCTGGGATGTATGTAAAAAGACTGACTGGTGCCACCTCCCCCCCCCCCCCCCGAATCGCAAAGTTCTGCAAACGCCTATGGCGAAACTGCACGACGATTTGGCAGCGCGGCCGGGCTTCAGGAACGCTAGAGCGTGCGGTAACTGCCCAGCAGGCTGCTCGCCGTTCGAGAGGTACGGAGGAAAACCGAGGAGCATCACTGGCCTCTAGAGGACAATGTCCACTGCTCGGTCCAGCACCGTGACGGCTCCGTGTACGGAGCGGCAGTTGTCGGGAGTTCTCTGGGCCAGCACTCTGACGGCTCCGTGTACGGAGCGGCAGTTGCCGGGGGTTCTCTGGGCCAGCACTCTGACGGCTCCGTGTACGGAGCGGCAGTTGTCGGGAGTTCTCTGGGCCAGCACTCTGACGGCTCCGTGTACGGAGCGGCAGTTGCCGGGAGTTCTCTGGGCCAGCACTCTGACGGCTCCGTGTACGGAGCGGCAGTTGCCGGGAGTTCTCTGGGTCACTGCCATCAGATGTTGAAAACCGACGGGTCAAGGTGCAGCAGGCGTTTGCTAGAATGCATGGTGACTCGGTGGTGACCAGTCCAAGCTCAGAGTCCATCGCCACCAGCGGTGATGATCACGCGGTAACAGTCACGTATCACGTCATTCGAGGCTTAGGGTTCCGGTACGGTGGCGGCGCCCGCGCGTGGACCGAGGACTATACCTGGTCAAATGCAGACGAAAAAGTGCGATGTTCAGAGCAAAGGAGCAAGATGGCCTTAGACACCTTAATGAACGATGCTGCATGATGGAGGAGGATGAGAAGAAGAAACGGTATATTATAAAAAAACACGGCTTCAAGTATCAACTCATATAACACGTAGGTAAGCATTGCATGTCGGCACAGAGTAACCTGTCAGCATTCATTGAACGTCTATACGAATGCAGTGGTGAGTGTGGTGGAAGGCCTTCCCCTCAACTAGATGCAATGATATTCATATTTATGAGAGTTGTGATATATTGAGAGCTGTACGCTTGATTTTCGCAGCCTTGCGCCGCAGCAAAATATCTGCGGCGTGTTCCTTTCAGGGATCGCCTCTATTGTTGGTGAGAGCATGTCTCTATGCCCTGGAGGTGCCTCTCTTGTTGGTGAGAGCATGTCTCTATGCCCTGAAGATGCCTCTCTTGTTGGTCAGAGCATGTCCCTATGCCCTGGAGATGCCTCTCTTGTTGGTGAGAGCATGTCTCTAAGACCTGGAGATGTCTCTCTTGTTGGTGAGAGTATGCCTCTATGCACTGGAGATGACCCTCTTGTTCGTGGGAGCATGTTTCTATGCCCTGGAGATGTCAGGATTTGCTGTCAAAACCGTAAGCATAGCGTCTCCCTCCTGTCTGCAAGTGTTTCCATTTTCAGAATATGTAGAAACCGTTGATAACTCTTGTCATACCCGGCGACGATTTTGAGAGCACGCTTCTGTACTCGCTCAATTTGTTGGGCTTGGTGATCGGTGAGCCCGGAATGAAAAACAGTCGCAGAGTATTCAAGCAGTGGTCGAACATACTTGATGTAAATTCTTGTCATTTGATCTTATGGCGGACGGAATTTTTTATAACGTAAAGCATATATAAAGCTTTCGAACCCCTCTTAACAATGTCATCAACATGTACCTACCAACTCATATCGCTGGACAATGTTACTCTTAAAAGCTTAGTACTGCTAACAATTGGTAAGCTAATCCCATTTATTGTGACAACCGGAAGCATCAGGGGTTTCTTAGCAGTAAAAACGTGCGCTGCTGATCTTGATAAGCAATGCACGTTTTTCACGTCCGGTTAGGATTTTTACGCGTAAGGAGCCGCAATGCCCAGAAGTGTAAGTTTAACCTGTCATTAGATGACCACCCTGTTGCCTACGTTATAAGGGCTAATTAAAAACGAAGCAGCCACGCATAAAATTGCAACGAGTACTACCATTATTTTGACCAAAACTTACGCTGTAAAACTTACCAAAACAATACGCTGAGACACAAAAATGAGCAGAAGGGTTTTCTCGCGCTCGCCTGTGGTATGCTCAAGCTTCGCCGATGAAAGCAGTTCTTCACACTCGTTCAGTTAAACGTGGGGTTACTAACAGGAAACTAAGGAAACGATGACATACATATCGTTCATCTCCACCATTACAGACATTGGTGGGAACAAGTCAAGGTGGTTTGTTTCAGGTTCAACCGCGGGGACTTCAACACATAGGCTACCTTGTGATGGAGCGCACGTGTTTTTGCTGGTTTGAGCGAGGTCGGACACCGCATTAGACTAACGTCGCCGCACACCAGCCGGCGATTTACCATGTTCGGCCGCCGCTCGGACATCATATAAACATACACACAAACCAATAAGGGCTGATTGGGGATTTCCGAATAAATGGTACTGATTCCAACGACATAAGCTCCTCCTGAATCGTACAAATCCAGCATGTGTTGGCCCCGGCCGGACATGTGCATGGCCTCAGCCAAGAAATCCATCGCCCTCCGCAACAGTTAGCGTGATGCATCGCGATAATATAAGACCTAAGTGTTGGCTGGGTCGGTAAGTTCCACCACAACAAATTCTCGTTGCACGTATGACAACGTGATCTATACCGTATGCATGTAACAAAAACTGTGTTCCGTGCAGTCAAGGTCGGGCCGGCGCGCAGGGCGCGCTGACGAGCGCGCCTCATCAGGTCGAGCCGGTGTGCAGGGCACGCTGACGAGCGCGCCTCATCAGGTCGAGCCGGTGTGCAGGGCACGCTGACGAGTGCGCCTCATCAGGTCGAGCCGGTGTGCGGGGCACGCTGACGAGCGCGCCTCATCAGGTCGAGCCGGTGTGCAGGGCACGCTGACGAGTGCGCCTCATCAGGTCGAGCCGGTGTGCGGGGCACGCTGACGAGTGCGCCTCATCAGGTCGAGCCGGTGTGCAAGGGCGCGCTGGCGAGCGCGCCTCATCAGGTCGAGCCGGTGTGCGGGGCACGCTGACGAGCGCGCCTCATCAGGTCGAGCCGGTGTGCGGGGCACGCTGACGAGCGCGCTCTCAGGTCGAGCCGGTGTGCGGGGCACGCTGACGAGCGCGCCTCATCAGGTCGAGCCGGTGTGCGGGGCACGCTGACGAGTGCGCCTCATCAGGTCGAGCCGGTGTGCGGGGCACGCTGACGAGCGCGCCTCATCAGGTCGAGCCGGTGTGCGGGGCACGCTGACGAGTGCGCCTCATCAGGTCGAGCCGGTGTGCGGGCACGCTGACGAGTGCGCCTCATCAGGTCGAGCCGGTGTGCGGGGCACGCTGACGAGCGCGCCTCATCAGGTGAGCCGGTGTGCGGGGCACGCTGACGAGTGCGCCTCATCAGGTCGAGCCGGTGTGCGGGGCACGCTGACGAGTGCGCCTCATCAGGTCGAGCCGGTGTGCAGGGCACGCTGACGAGCGCGCCTCATCAGGTCGAGCCGGTGTGCAGGGCACGCTGACGAGTGCGCCTCATCAGGTCGAGCCGGTGTGCGGGGCACGCTGACGAGTGCGCCTCATCAGGTCGAGCCGGTGTGCGGGGCACGCTGACGAGTGCGCCTCATCAGGTCGAGCCGGTGTGCGGGGCACGCTGACGAGTGCGCCTCATCAGGTCGAGCCGGTGTGCAGGGCGCGCTGACGAGCGCGCCTCATCAGGTCGAGCCGGTGTGCAAGGGCGCGCTGGCGAGCGCACCCCACCAGGTCGAGCCGGTGTGCAGGGGCGCGCTGTATAACGCGCCTCTTCAGGTCTAGCCGGCGCGCAGGGGCACGCGGACAATCGCGCCTCATCACACACACACTACACAATAATGCCCAGCTAATGGTATGCAGGGTCTTGACAATGCCCATCATCGCAGCCTGTTCATTTCGGTGGATTTCCCCGACTAAACGTGAGCTGGAAATTCTGCCGTGTATTCCGTCGAACAGGTGCAAAGCCTTTCCTCACGTCAGTTCACATGTCCTATGGTAGACAGGCGTCCGGGTGAGACGGACCTCTGCAGCAGCGGCTCTGCTTTACCAACTGTGGGGACAGCGAGCCGCCAGCGAAAGACGCGTCCACAAGGAACGGGTGCCGACAGGCGGGCGCTCTGACGCGGGAGCCCGGCGGTCGGTCCAGGCCAAGGCAGCGTGCCGTCGGAGGCCGCCCGTACCCCACCGCCAGAGGTCATCGCAGCGCGCCGTCGGAGGCCGCCCACATCCCACCGCCAGAGGTCATCGCAGCGCGCCGTCGGAGGCCGCCCGTACCCCACCGCCAGAGGTCATCGCAGCGCGCCGTCGGAGGCCGCCCACATCCCACCGCCAGAAGGTAATCGCCAGCGCGACCGTCGGCGGCCGCCCGTTACCCCACCGCCAGAGGTCATCGCAGCGCGCCCCGTCTGGAGGCCGGCCCCACATTCCCACCGCCAGAGGTCATCGCAGCGCGCCGTCGGAGGCCGCCCACATCCCACCGCCAGAGGTCATCGCAGCGCGCTGTCGGAGGCCGCCCACATCCCACCGCCAGAGGTCATCGCAGCGCGCTGTCGGAGGCCGCCCGTACCCCACCGCCAGAGGTCATCGAAATACTCATCAGACGGCGGAGCGCAAAAGCGACGCAGCAGCGCTGTGTGATTATTATCGCCAGAAGTTTGGTTTCCAGGAGACTGTCCAACACCTGCTAATCATTCAAACGCGGACACCGAACACGCTAGGAAATACCCGGCAAGAATTGCACACTGTTAGCGAGTATTGTCTGCCTTCAGTGTCTCCGCTAGGCAGAGGCTACGTACCGCACGGAGCATCGAGAGCACAAGACCTACGCCCGAAATATCCGGACACACACTTGTCACCAGTGGCGAATGTTATCCATACCAAAGGAGCACGTCTCACCCCAACTTGTATCTGGAAACGTGGCGAGCTTCCCACAAACGCAATGACCCTGCACCGAGAGCTGCTCATTCCTTTTTTCATGCATAGCACTCTATGTAAAAACTGTCTGGTGACATCGCCGGCGTCAACACCAGCATTTCAAAGGCAGTCTCCCGCATCGAACGACCGGGGGCGTCCAGCCCCCGCCCCTCCCCCTCCCTGCACAACGCCCTCCGGTCACGGATCGGCATCAGGCCCGCCCTGTTGCTGTACAGAGCATGAGCCCAGCTCCAGCTCCGCTCGCGCCGCCTGGCTCATTGGGGGTCCGGCCAGCGACCCCCGTGACGCGGCGCCCGGGCCAGCACGGGCGCGCTTCACTCCATGTACGGGTACTTCCACTCGGTGAGCGGCACGAATGTCTCCTTGACGGCCTGCGGCGAGCAGTACTTGAGCATGTAGTGCGGCCCGCCCGCCTTGTCGTTGGTTCCTGTTGACAGAAGACGACATCAACTTAGACAATGGTGTCCAGCAGACTTCGAGAGGGGGGGGGGGGAGGGGCACCGCTACACAATAGCATCGCTGATCGGTTTCAGTGGTTTCACTGCCTTCCGCATCGTATGGCGAGCGAAGGGGTATTGCGTCCACGTCCGTTCAACATCCAGTGTGCTAGAACAACAGTAAAGATCCGGCCCGGGAATACCATACGACGAGGTGCGGCACGTGCTCCGTAACTTCACCTGGACCATTGTGAGACGTGAGAGCTCTGCAACCTTGCCTACAACTATACTGTGCAGTCCACACGCCAGGTGAAGCGACACTATATGATGCCACGTTTTGCCATCCTGAGTACTTTCGCACACACGCACAGGGAAAAGCTGGTTGAAACTTCACAATGACCTGCGAATAGTTCTGTGGTATAATCCGTTATTACACTACCTATGATCTTGATCTAGGATAGCCTAGCTCTCGCCATCCTCATGGAGGACAATGACGTCGACAAGTTCTAAATTTTATGCCAGCATTCATTTCGGCGATTTACACACTACACTTCGGCATGACGTCAGCACCATCTGGACTAGCTCCTCTCCATCAGTGACGCAAGTCAAACGTTTTAGTTCATGACGGCCTCTAGCGCTTATTTAATGTAAATTACACCACATGCCCTGGTTTGCCCTTCACTTCGGTTAACTAACGGAAAGGTCACGGGCACCTGGGTCACGGGCGCCTGGGTCAAGGGCACCTGCTATGTTCGACATATGACTGCACACCTTCAGAACCACTTCTAGGTGCAAGCTGCAAACAGCACCAAGAGTGCGTCGAACGACCATTTTTCAATTCCTATTGCGCATACCTACAAACACAGGCTTTTACCTCGGCCGCCTGACACGGTAAAACTGAATTTGTTTGTCAAACACAACATAAGTCAAACTCAGCTGCTAACCTTCATATCAACATCCACTGACCGGTTCAAGGGACATTCGCAAAACACGCTGGGGGAGGCAGCAGGGACCCCCTGCCCTGGCGATGACTGACATGACTCATGAGAATCAGTATATGGCGCAGAATGACGCAGCCCGCTGGAGCACCAGCAGCGCTGGGCATCGGTCCGGCACCGTTCCGCCTGCGGCTCCTCCTTCGACTGCGCCTCCCCTCAGACTGCCACTGCCCTGCGTGTCGCAGCTGCACCACATGGGGTGCATACTTCTATACTATATTGCTCGCGTGAATCATTTATACATAGACCATTCAGTGATCGAATATAAGTAAAATAACGAATACCTACAACACGCCCGAGATCATTTGTAAATACGACACAGACCCACTCACTCGTAACTTTGTAGTACACCTTATGTCATGGCCCGAACGTCAACGGCCGTCCCAGCCGGCTTTATGTAATACAGGGGAAAGAAACACTGCCGTTTGGTCGTTCTGGACTCGACAACCGTTGGTGGAAAACCATCTATTGTCTGACTCGGCGTGACCGGGAGGGTTTATATAACACATTGGTTCAAACCGGACCAAGCTGTGTGAAGTGACGCGACCAAACCTGCTCCATCGGTTCAGTATTAGATGGCGTGGTTCGCTGCAGGAGACATAACAACATTACGTTTATTTTTCCGAGCTCTAAGCAGTACTGGTCCGCCATCCATACCATTAGAGGAGGAATCAGGTTATTCAGTGTCATCCATGACATACGCGCAGAGATGTAAGTTGGTGCGCATAATTTGCTGGAAATGAGCCATTTCTAGGCTGAAACCATCGGCTTCGTGATGTCTCACGTGTAACAGAGCAGCGAAGAACATTGACTGCCGCGTACTAATCGAACCCTGATCAGTCAGTTGCAAAAGCAGAGCCAGAGAGACGGCTACAGTGAAAACAACAAAATATAGGAATATACAGGCGATCCCCGCTCGCTTCGCAGCGAGAAGGGGCAACGCCGCTAGCGCCGGTAGCTCCGCCACCAAAGACGCAATGTTTACTTGTGTCTTAACAACATGAAGTGGATCTCAGTTAACATTTGTAAGCCGTTTAGCACACCTTGATTGCTATATTCGACGGGACGGCACCGCCGCGCCGGCGTCTCGTCGGTATAGCACCGCCTCCAGCCACATAGCGCGGATTCGCACCGCAGTGATGCACGGTGTGTACTGGTCAGTTTTTTCTAAGTTTTCAATGCCTATGTCCAATGGCAGCCCCCGTGTGTGGTGCCGCCATATTCATCCCTGTTCCGTGTTTGTGGCAGGCACTCGACGATTTGAACTTCGCCCAGCTCGATTCTCCTGCACACATCGACGACAAAGGTTTCCTGCTAAGTGCCAGAACGCCAGCTCTGGCACGCGATGTGCCCGACCCTCGCATCGGACGGGCGTGTATCTAAGCCTTGAATCGTAACAACAGTTGAAATCGCCGGATGTGATAAATGTGTGCCCGTTAAAGAAGTGCGGACAGACATACACTCCAGGCGTACAAAATCATTGAGTTATATGTTCCCATATAAGCAAGTAAACCTTAAAGCTCCTGGTTTCTTTGCACTATGAGTCATTATGTTGCACTAATCGACCCTCCACACTCCACGGGGCACCAGTTAAACGAAGCTATCAAACAAACATTGGCGTCCATAACATTACTAAACAAGCACTGAGACTCGTGCCCACGAATGCCCTCCCAAAGTGTCGGGTGGTTTTATAACATCGTCTAATTGAAATCTGAGTTCTTCAGCCCCTCCCTCCCCCCGCCCCCACCACCGCCGCCACCGCCGCCGCCGCCCAACAGTAGCAGCGATCAGCATGGAGGCTCACCAGAGATGCGGCCGCCGCCGAACGGCTGCTGGCCCACCACCGAGCCGGTGGACTTGTCGTTGATGTAGAAGTTGCCGCACGTCATCTTCATCTTCTCCAGGGCGAACTCGGCGAACGCCCTGGCGGTGCAGCGCACGGGCGGCGTCAGGCGCCAGGACTGCGCTCGGAGTGATGCGAGCAACGGCAGGGACGCCACATTCGAAGGCGCCTGGTGCGTGTCAAGTCGTACCGGTCAAAGGCCTCCGATCACTAACAGACGATGAGTGACGCAGTGCTGGAGGATGCGAGTTAAGCAGTGTTGTAGTGCACATCATGTACGATATCGCAGGAATGCACCAATGGTGTTGCACACGCAAACAGACCCAGATGGCGGGGAGCGTTCACATGGTTACCGAAATGGATCCTTGCATTTATAACGAGTGAGGTCACAATTCGCGAGAATCCTCCATGACCCGCAGATGTTTTAGCTCTAGCGGCACGGCTCGGCTCCGCCCATCGTCACACTCTTAACCAGCCAGTGTTCTTGCGGACACCCCACGCAGGACGTTGCCAGGGGCGGATCCAGGATCTCGTCAAGGGGGGCACGCAACATCGTGGGGTTCCCTTGGAGTTTAGGGCCCCTTCCAAAAAATACACTTGCATTCCGGCCAGCACATTTTAAGACAAATAGGATGTAGCATATATATAAATATATATATATATATATATATATATATATATATATATATATATATATATATATATACATAATAAATACGGAAACATGTCTTACTGCGAGCAGCGCTATAATATATATATATATATATATATATATATATATATATATATATATATATATATCAACATATGAATAGAACATTAGTCATCAGCTGATGGCTGATGACTAATGCAGAATTTTTCCTTTGTTGTACAGAACTAAAAAAATATCCTAGCATTCAAAATGCGTTAAGAACGTACGCACTAGTATTATGAGCGTCACACACTCAATAACCAATGAAAATGACACATACGATGTCGACGGTACGTAACATTATGTTTGACAGCTGAGCGAAAAAAATCATCGGCGCATATCCAACTTCTGCTCTGGGGCGAAGGCACCACGACCAAAAGGGACGGAACCTGAGCGATCCTGGGTGCCGCAGGAGGCCAACACATTGACGCCTGTCAACAAGTATAGGGTCCTCGGAGCAGGCAAAAAGAGTCCAAGAGTAACGTGATGGCCCCGAAACGATCGGTAGTGCCCCGGCAGGCTGACGTATGAGGTTCCAGCCAGAACACCGCGCCCTCTGACCAAACGGAATTATTCAAGACCATGAGTTGATACCCTTGTGCGATCAAGAGTGCACGGGTAGGCTAACAGAAAGAGCCTTGATAAGAGTTAAGAGTCCTCCGCATCATCAAAGGGAAAGAGCCCTTGATCAAAGCACAGGGCCACTGAGCATCAAGTGTTTCGGTGACTTACCTTATAAGTGCTCCAGCAAAAACACAAGGTCTCCACGCAAGTCGGAAGAATCCGAGACTGATATAAAGGACCCCTGAGGAACTGAGTGTACCCTGGCAGGTGGGCCCCGGAAAAGAGCGTATAAGGCCTTTTGGGCGAATGGGAAAAAAATCATGGAGAAAAACCTGCATCGACCAAGAGTACCCAGGCATGGAAGCAGATAGCGTCCTTACGAGAGCGCTAGGCCCTACGAGAAAATGCAAAGAGATCAAGAAAACCGCGGAACCGCGGAAAGCTCCTTAGCGATCAGATTAACCAGGCAAATGGACATATACGGCCATGGCAATCCACAGCGTAATGCCTCTACATAGCGCAATGAGCCCAGATTTTCCCCCAAGCAATATCTTCTCAACCAGAGAAGAATTAACTTTGTCTGCTGGTGAGCCCTTTACTTCTACTCCCAATTGTTCTTGCTAGTCTGTAAGCCCAAAGGCATCCAATTTTATTGCGTTTTGCTGTTAGAAAACTGCTTCCGTGCGGTCCGTTATGGGCCACTTCGGAGCCTTTAAGCCCTTTTGGCATGGTCCATGGGGGGGGGGGGGACATGATCCTGTGCCTCCCGCCACCGTCTGCATCCGCCACTGACCCACGCGGCCTAACAGATGGGGTCCGCCAAGAACACAGGGCCACCCATCCAACTAAGAAATACTCACGACATAATGTGTATGGCTCCGAACCGTCGAGTGTGTCCGAGCAGGTTGACAGATAGGGCCCCGTCAAGAGTGTAGGGCAGTCCATTCGAATGAGCATTACCCAAGACCCGATGTGGACCCAATGACCCCGAATGATCGAGTGTGCCAGAGCAGGTTAAGATAGTGTCCCCGACAAGTGTGTGAGGCCCTACATTCGGATGGGAAGTACCCAGGACACAGTGCGAAGGGCCCCGAATAATTGAGTGTGCCCGAGTAAGTTAACGGATGGGGCCCCCGACAAGAATGTAGGGCCTTTCGCTCAAATATGAAAAATGCACGACATGATGTAGGGGGGCCCGAAAAATCGAGTGCGCCAGAGCAGGTAAACAAAGGGGCCCCAAAAAGAGCGGAAGGACCTCCATTCAAATATAAAGTACCCAAAACCAGATGCAGAGCTTCTCCAACGATCGAATGGGCTCGAGCATCTTATCAAAAGGGGCCCCGACAAAAGTGTAAGGCAAACGAGAAGTACCCAACATCCAGTGCGGAGGGTCCCCGAAAAATGGAGTGTAACCGAGCAGGTTATCAAATGACACCAAAAGAAGCGCAGGGTCATAAATTCAAAAACCGAGACCCAATGTACAGGGTCCCAAACAATCTAGTGTGGCCGAGGAAGCGAACAGAGGGGGCCTAAGACAAGTGCGTAGGGCCCCTATTCAAATAGGACATGCCTAAGACCCAATGAAGAGAGCCCCCGAGCGGTCGAATGTACCCAAACAGGTCATCAGATAGGCCCCACAAGGGCGTAGGTCCCCCCCCCCCTTCAGATAAGGCCCTAAGCAAGTGGCAGAGAATTGGATGCGCCATAGACGAATGTAGCGGACCCCTGAGCATAACGTGAGTGTGTCAGTTGGTTAACCGAGACCCACGTAAATGGCCTCTGAGCGGCCGACAATACTCCAGCAGGCTAACATGTGGGGCCAGGCTATAGCCCACATAGCCTTCCTGGAGAACCGAAAGAGTTCGCGGAAGAGTCCTTGATTGACAATGACCCGGCACGCTAATAGGGAGGGCCCCAACAACAGCGCAGGGCCCTCCGAGCAAATGCAAAGAAATGAAGGGCGACATCGAAGGCTCCGTAACGATTGGAATTACCCAGCAAGTGACCATATATGTCCCCTAGAAACAGCATACCGCCCCTAGACAGTGTAATGAGGCTAAGAATTCCCAGTTCACAACTTTTTTAATCATTGAAGAATGTTTTACTTCTTGTGGGCCTTTCATTGTCGCCTGCAACTATTCTTGGTCGCCTGAAAATCCAGAGGCGTTCAATTTGTTGCGTTTTTTGTTTTGTTTAAAAAACTACCCGGTCAACCGGCTATGGGCCCCTTGGAGCCCATGGGGACCCTTCGGGACCCAAGGGGGTCATGGCCCCGTGCCCCCTTCCCCTCCGGATCCCCCCGGATGCTGCCAGGCAGTTTTTAATCAGGCGCAGTTTTGCTCATTTGCCGCACGTCCACTCGATTAACCCCGGAAAGTAAAGATTGCAAATTACGAAAAAAAAATTGGCAGCTGGAAAGACCATGGTGCCACTTCTGATGGCTCGGTGGCCAGCGGAACGTGCTGCGTTCCTGCCAACTCTCCCTCTGCAGAATCCACACAATCAGAGGTACACGTCAACTGACGGCCACCAGTGTCCCAGTCTGAGTAATAGCATGGGGGAGGGGGCCCCATCACCGGGGGCGTGTTCTTTCGGTCAGCAGCTGCGTGTGGTCAACGGCGTGACCTGCCGGCGCGCGCAGAGATTTGGACTCGGGTTCATTGCCGGAGTCAATGATGTCGGACGCCGGAATCAGTGAGCTGACCGACCGAAACTCGATGAGTGGACGAACTACCACAGGGGCTATCGAACGGCATCCTATTTAATTTGTTCCGTGTTAGGATGCTCTCGCAATGCACGCACTCGACATTTGCGCTCCTTTTCCTTGCAACCCAATTGCAGCTGCTCCGACGGCACTGTCTGGCGCGGTAATGGGCTTTAAAACGGACAGACTGGCTGATGGGTTCCGATCAAATCCGGCCCATACGTGGCTGTTCGTTGCGCGTGGGAGGGGAGGGGGGACCAAACACTGGCATTCCCGCGCCCTTGTCACCAACATATAACAGCTAAGACAGCGATATTTGGCAGGCAGGATTGTGGCGCGAATGCCAGACGACGGGTAGCTGTTTTGACCCGATGGTTTCAACCTACGGCGTACGGGACACTCGTGCCAAGTTGCACCCCTTTACGGCGTACGGGACACTCGTGCCAAGTTGCACCCCTTTACGGCGTACGGGACACTCGTGCCAAGTTGCACCCCTTTACGGCGTACGGGACACTCGTGCCAAGTTGCACCCCTCTACTATGGAGACCACTTGACTGGCAGCCCTCGAAGCTAAATGCTCCAAACTTCACAAAGATCTCTGACTCCGTATCGTGTACCTACACCAATATGAAAATAACCAGTGCAAAGATGAGACTTGCATGCATGTGCTACACATTGGAGTCGGGGAGCTCTGAGATGAGACTTGCATGCGTGCGCTACACATTGGAGTCGGGGAGCTCTGAGATGAGACTTGCATGCGTGTGCTACACATTGGAGTCGGGGAGCTCTGAGATGAGACTTGCATGCGTATGCTACACATTGGAGTCGAGGAGCTCTGAGATGAGACTTGCATGTGTATGCTACACATTGGAGTCGGGGATCTCTGAGATGAGACGTGTATGCGTATGCTACACATTGGAGTCGGGGAGCTCTGAGATGAGACTTGCATGCGTATGCTACACATTGGAGTCGGGGAGCTCTGAGCGCTGGAAACAGTGAAATATGTGGCCGAAATTAGTTGAGTGGGGAGACAGCCACCAACGCTGTTGGATGGTACCCAACGTAAAGCGTTCCGTGCAGATTGCTTGTGCGGGGTACATTCGTGATCCTGATGAAGGGTGCATTCATCGGTCTGGATTCTAACCCCATGATAATGCCGATCGCCTTGGTTTGCCATTAGTTTTCAACAATGCAGCCACAGGTAAGCTGTGTTATGTAAGACTAAGCCTAGTCCCTTTCGGCAATGTGGAATAAGATTAATCCGAACCAAACGAACGAGGCCAGCTATTCATTACAACCAGAGAGCACGCAAGTCCAGTTCAAAGCGAAGGTCGGGTTCAATGACGTTATGTCGCATTCGGCCAGTGGTTGGGCCCGTGCCGAGCTGGGCCTGGCTCGCTTTAGCGAAGGTCACTCACTGGTCCTGGCTGAAGACGGCGCCGGTGAGGGCGTACGGGCAGCGGCCGATCATCTCCAGGGTGGCCGCCTCCTGGCCGTCCTCGTACACGAACACGCTGAGCACGGGACCAAAGATCTCCTCCTGCAGGATCCGCTCGTCCGGGTCCCGGCTCACCACGATGGTCGGCTCGACGAAGTACCCCACACTGTCGGCGAGGCCGCGCCCGCAGCCGGCAGTGAGCCGCCGGTGCCGCCCGCCAGACCGCGCACACAGCCGGCAGCGAGCCGCCGGTGCCGCCCGCCAGACCGCGCACACAGCGGCAGTGAGCCGCCGGTGCCGCCCATCAGACCGCGCACACAGCCGGTGCCGCCCGCCAGACCGCGCACACAGCCGGCAGTGAGCCGCCGGTGCCGCCCGCCAGACCGCGCACAGCCGGCAGTGAACCGCCGGTGCCGCCCGCCAGACCGCGCACGCAGCCGACAGTGAGCCGCCGGTGCCGCCCGCCAGACCGCGCACAGCCGGCAGTGAACCGCCGGTGCCGCCCGCCAGACCGCGCACGCAGCCGACAGTGAGCCGCCGGTGCCGCCCGCCAGACCGCGCACACAGCGGCAGTGAGCTGCCAGTGCCGCCCAGCCATGTGGCGAGACCACAGATCGATGAGCTATCTCGACCGGGACAGGCAGGCGTCGCACGCGCTGAAACTCGACGCCACCGCGGTGACGGTGAGCGGCGGGACCATTCCACGCAGGGGACCCCGGGGACAGGGGAACACGCGACGTTTAACGTCCTGTACCAATCCATGAAGACGGTAATCACCGCCAGCGTCACCCAACTGCGTGATATGACTCACGGTTGCACTGCAACATCAGTGATTTACGTCCACCTGAATTAGGTGGTGTCATGATGGGACGAGTGGGTCTGGGGGTGGGGGGGGGGGGGGGGGCGGGGTGATCGAACAGCTGCGAGCGAGCGTCCCCTCCTTGAGCGTTCCCTCCCTGCCGGACCTGGCCAGTGAGCGAACAGCTGCCAGAGAGGGGGTGAGTCGAACAGCTACCTTCTCCGCGTCGGCTCCGCTGGCCAGGTGAGGCCCTCCGCCTGCGGCCCTTTAACATCGGCTGACCTGCTGTCGCAGCCGCCACCGGCGATGACCTCCAGGTTTGGCGAGCTCTTGGCGTGCTCGATGTACGACTGGATCCGCTTGAAGGCCTTCTCGTCAATCACGGCTCCGTAGAAGGTTTCCTTCTTTAGGGGATCTCCCACCCGGATTTCCTTGTGGATATCTAGCATGCGACTACGAATCTGCGAATGTGAATGCAATGCCAGGTGTTACACAAGCTCATTGTACGGGCGCCTCGTTCAGCCCGCAGCAGACAAAGCACATATGTCTAACGCGTCGCCGAAAGCCGTGCCATCCGGTGCAAGTCGTGCAAGTTCCCATGGTGAACCTGTGACCGGCGACCAGCACAGCGACGTGTTTCCGGTTTACAAGCGTGCCAACAGATGGCAGCACCCAGATCGTCCTAGCGGCCCTCACATCGCCGTCCCAGCACAAATGGTAGCATCTAGTTTGTCCTAACAACTCTGCAAACTTGAGCTCAGGGAGCAAATTACATAGCACCTGCATTCGCTTGCTGATGTCTCATTTACACAGTGCTATCGCTACGGTTTTTTTAAACTTCGTGGAAAAACTATAGAAGCGGGAATGGGACAAAGATCACACAATACCAGCAAAACGCAATACACATATTTTTTCATCGGATTTCCCAAACATCCCCTGATTTATTGGATTCATACTAGCATTGAAGGGGACCAAACCGCCCTACTGTGCCTCGCGGCGACGCATTCGTCTTAACCACGCCACCTCCTCAAACAGGTGGTAGCACCTACCTCATCCCAGCGACTCCTCGGGACATACATTCTGCTACAGGCAGAGCACTTCTGGCCACCAAACTCGAAGGCCGAGCGCATGGTGGCAGGGGCGACGGTCGCGGCATCCGCCGACGGGTGGATGAAGTGATAGTTCTTGCCGCCACACTCGCCCACGAGGCGGGGGAAGCTGTGGTAACTGGCGATGTTGTTTCCCACCTGTTTCCAAAGGTGCTGGAACGTTCTGGTAAGAGAGTGACGCTGAAATGAGTACCGACAACCAAAGGCAGGCATGGCTGTCTGTCATGGGAAGATACAGTTCGCTTAAGGACATGCGGCAGAGAAACTAAAGCCTTGTCGGTCAGATCTCCCGGAGAACTTCGGGCAAGTTTGTGCACAAACAGAATGAGACAGCTCACAAAACGTCATTGTCGTGAGCTAGCCACCACCACGGCAGCCAACGGCGTCACATCCCTCGCTCCATGGCCACTGGAAGCCGTCACTCACGGCACTGATCCCGTGAAGTTGACCACGGCCAGGTGGGGCGAGGCGGTCACTGTGTCGCCGTACACCGGGCCGTCGGCCGGCACGAAGTTGATCACGCCCGGCGGCATGCCCGCCTCCCGTAGTATGCGGTAAGCCGTGTAGTTGCTCAGCACGGCCGTGTCGGACGGCTTCCACACCACCACGTTGCCCTGGCAACAGCGCCGCTGACGTAAACAAACCAGCCAGCTGGCGGCGGCCCCGTCACGCGCCGCTCGGACGTCCATGCTTTTTCCGCTTTGGCTAGACGGCCAGAAACGGCCGGTAAAAACCGGACGATGCCAAAACCGGCAGATGAAACGCAGCAGGCTGGCGCCTTCTGACAAAGTCATGATCAAGAGCATAAACCGTGTTACAAAGTGCACGACTTTCACTGAGCTGGCACGAATCACAAGACAGTCTGTCAGCCGTCCCTATGAACCCGTGAAAATACGTTAACACTCAGGACCCGGAAAAAGGCATTAGCTAAGTAAATGGCAACAAACCGGACAATCCCGGACACGTGCGCCTAGAATGTGGACACGTGCGCCCAGGATGCGCAAGGGGAAAATTAGCCGCACCACGTCCCTCGCCATCACAGTGTCTAGAACATACACCGTGCAACATGCTAATGAAATGCAGCACAACTGATGCGCCGCTCTGCACGGGCGAGAGTGAAGGAGATCACGGAGCATGATAGCAAAAGACGATCCAGGCCTCTTGTCAAATGGCAAGGGACACCATGGACGCCGCACATGCGCAGGCATGCGCATTCCAAAACCTGGCACAGCACAAGCGGCGCCAGTAGGCAGCAGGGAGCGGCGCTCGTGGGCAGTAGGGAGCGGCGCCAGTGAACAACAGGGAGCGGCGCCAGTAGGAAGCAGGGAGCGGCGCCAGTGGGCAGCAGGAAGCGGCGCCAGTGAACAACAGGGAGCGGCGCCAGTGCGAAGCAGGAAGCGGTGCCAGTGAACAGCAGGGAGCGGCGCCAGTGGGAAGCAAGGAGCGGCGCCAGTGGGCAGCAAGGAGCGGCGCCAGTGGGCGGCAGGGAGCGGCGCCAGTGGGCAGCAGGGAGCGGCGCCAGCGGGCAGCAGGGAGCGGCGCCAGTCGGCAGCAGGGACCGGCACCAATGGGCGGCAGGGAGCAGCGCCAGTGGGCAGCAGGGAGCGGCGCTAGTGGGCAGCAGGGGGCGGCGCCAGTGAAAAACAGGGAGCGGCGCCAGTGGGAAGCAGGAAGCGGTGCCAGTGAACAGCAGGGAGCGGCACTAGTGAAAAACAGGGAGCGGCGCCAGTGGGAAGCAGGGAGCGGCGCCAGTGGACAGCAGGGAGCGGCGCCAGTGGGCAGGAGGGAGCGAGCGGTGCCAGTTGGCAGCAGGGAGCGACGCCAGTTGGCAGTAGGGAACGGCGCCAGTGGGCAGCAGGGAGCGGCGCCAGTTGGCAGCAGGAAGCGGCGCCAGTGGACAGCAGGGAGCGGCGCCAGTTGGCAGCAGGGAGCGGCGCCAGTTGGCAGCAGGAAGCGGCGCCAGTGGACAGCAGGGAGCGGCGCCAGTTGGCAGCAGGGAGCGGCGCCAGTGGACAGCAGGGAGCGGCGCCAGTGGGCAGGAGGGAGCGAGCGGTGCCAGTTGGCAGCAGGGAGCGGCGCCAGTTGGCAGTAGGGAACGGCGCCAGTGGGCAGCAGGGAGCGGCGCCAGTGGGCAGCGGGGAGCGGCGCCAGTTGGCAGCAGGAAGCGGTGCCGTTCACGCACCATGAGCGCCGGCGCCGAGGCCAGGTTGCCACCGATGGCGGTGAAGTTGAACGGCGACACGGCCGCCACGAACCCCTCCAAGCCGCGCATGCGCATCGAGTTCTTGGTGACGCTTCGGTCCTCGCTGATGGGCTGCCACTTGCAGAGCTCCTTGGCGAAGAAGGCGTTGAAGCGCAGGAAGTCCACCAGTTCCGCGGCAGCGTCGATCTCGGCTTGGATGATCGTCTTGGACTGGAGCATGCCCGGGGACTGGTAAGACGAGTATAACCGCAGAATGAAGGTCTGGATTTGTTTATTTTTTCGCCCGCTTTTACGCCCAAAATCAGTTTTTATCCATTTTTTCAGACGCTCTGATTTCCTTTAAAAAATTATTTGTTGGCAATCTTGAAATCATGTCGTTTTAATAAGCACCGCAAAGAAAATAAATCACTCACATCTATAACTGACATATTTTGTATCTTCTACCACGGGCTTGACAGTGCTATGGATATCGATCCATTTCGACCGTTGACTAAATATTACTTCTTTTCCGCAATGAAAAGGTCAGCTGGTAACTGACCAAACAGGACCGATCGGTCATGACAGGCATGAGGATGTCTTGAGTAGACTTGCAGAGAGGAGAAGTATTTGTGAGCGGTACTGCTTTTGGCCGCACGGAGCTCATAAACACGAAATACATAGCAAGACAAGCATGGGCCGGGGTCTCGGGCGCAGCTTTCACATCGGTCTATGTCGCTCCTGGGTCGCAAATTGGTAAAAGCATATTTTCGGGTGCGGATCGGGCAATGGGAGTCCTGCTAACGCAGCGTGGCAGAACTGTCCGTTAGATGCACATTTCTCAGAGGCACAAACCACAAATACCAAAGTAGACGACAATAACACGAAACGGATTAATGTCAGCGCAGTTTTGTTAAAATTACACACAAAACGAACCGCATCATTTCTTCCTTCACATGGCCTCTTGCACCCTGCAACCCGTTCATTCTTTGCGCTGCAATATCACTGCCCAGTTACCGCTTTAACCCGGCCACATGGGAGGGCAGAAAGTGATACTGACAACCGCCGTCTGGAAGTACTTCGTTTGTAGCGTTACTGCGCCGTGAACAGAACAAACCAAAACGTTATAATTGTTGAATACTTCAGCATTTGTTCAGGTCGATATTGCGACAGGCTCATTAACCCTTTTCAGCCTTTTGCTGAAAGGTTCTTTAGATTTTTAGAGCAAAAGCTTTTCGAAAATATCAACATCTGGGAATAATAACTTTCGTTTCGTTCGAGAAAACTATGAAGTGACAACACGTTTGTGGTACGTACAATCCCTTTGAATCCCGCTCCAGCAGGAAAACGTGTCAGGAAATCACCAAGCCAAGGGCGGACAATGATCAATCCGTAAGTGAGCTGCTTTACTCATGCCATTTAGGTTAAGCATGAGCTGTTCATGATACAACCACGGTTATAGCAGTGGCGTGACGTCATTTCCTTCTCGGCTGCTCAGCACATGGCGTATTGAACGCCGGACCAGCGCCCACCTGTCCGAGCATTGTTGTAGCGTTCAGGTCCATGCGGTACTTGGTAGCCATCAGGTCAGCTGCTCGATGGAAGATGGCGATCTTCTCAGCCAGAGGCACCTTCTCCCAGGTCTCACGCACCGACAGGCTGTTGTCGATCGCCTTCTGGACCACCTCCTGTTCACATGGTGGTCAAACGAGGTATGGGTCAAACGAGGTACATTAATACACGGCGATGTGTGTAATGTGGCTCGCTGCATTAGTGTGCGGGACGCACATAATTTAATGCTGAGTCGTTGCCTTAAAATACACACGTTGACGTAACGCTCGCCATTCAACATCACTACCCAACACACAACGTTGAGTGGCATACAGGACATCTGCCGCAACTAACAGCCGCAAGCCATTTTGGTGCCTTGGTTCCGGTATCAAATGACAATATTTCAATAGTTCTCTCAATGAGTCAGTAACTCTCACGGCGCATGTCATTCCCGTATATTAACGCATCACGATCATTCAAATATCAATATCTCCTGTGGGACTTAGCAGCCCTATGAACCTCAAAGTTTTCCATTGGCTTCGCGTCGAGTGGTGTTGCCCGAACCGCGCCGCCTAACTCGCGGTGACACTGGCCCGGCCCGTGAGCCGCCGTGCTTTGGCGGCAGTGTATGAGCTGGAGGGCCTGGCCAGCGCCGTGTTTACACTAGTGTGACGGACAGCGCACCGGCTGTGACCCAGACGGATATGGCGTCGCTGGCCGGCCGGCCATCGGCCGCGCCAGGACGGGAGGCGGCCGAGGCACGGAGAGCGCCCGAGTTGGAGACCACGGGGAAAGCCGGACACCGGCGTGGGGCGACGGGGCAGAGCCGGGACGGCAGGGAGGGGTCGAGCTGGAGACCACGGCGAGGGCCGGACACCGGCGCGGAGCGACGGGGCAGAGCCGGGACGGCAGGGAGGGGCCGCATATCAGGAGGACTGTTACCTTCCGACTGAGAGCTGGACGTACTAGCAGTGTTGTCGGAATACTTTCGTGTTGCGAAGTGGGAATCAAGCTCCGCGGGTGTCAACCGGCAACCATCAGACACCGAGCTGGCGCACACCGCTGCCGCCCTGAGCCAGACATATCATGCATGTTTCATGCCCTTGCAACGTCGCAGCTGGGATACATATCTGGCTGTCAGATCGAGGGGAGAGTACTGCACTGTACTTCTTAGGGAACAGCACAACTGCTCATGGTTCTGCTCGCCTGTCCGTTCGGCTGTCCTCATGCATTAACAAAGCGGCACGAAGGGCGGCGCTCCATGCCTGCCATAGTCCCGCGCCGCCCGAGCCCCGGGAGCCGGTCCGCCGGCGGAGGGGACGGGGCGCGGCGGTGCGCAGTTGGAGAGGCCCTCGTCTCGCGCGACCCTGCCGGCGGCCGGCGCCGGGCCGGTCGACAGCACTCGACAGCGCCGTATGTACGCGACGGCACGGCAATGAAGACCTACCGGTCGAGGCGTCGATGCTGACGGCGTTAAGGGAGCGAGAGCTCCACTGCTTTGAGTTGTCATACCTTCACGCAATCGGCTCAGAAACTTGAAATCTCCTGCACCCACCGATGGGACGATTTAATATCCCAAATTGAAGTCGGTCGAATCTGACAATGTGAATACTGCCCCGAACAATACATCCCTATCCGCTCTCATACATCGAACATACATGATGTTATGCTAAATATAAATGACATAAACAGCCCATGTTGCGTACATGCATGACATTTATGTTCCTGTCCCTTATTTGTCTGCTTTTAGATCTATTTCATAAAACCACCCATAAACCTCCGACTGGTTCGAACAGGATTTATCCCTTAAACCAGCAGATTTAAATACCGACCAGTTGGAACAGTATGCCAAATATCATTAAGGGACACATATATGCATCTGGATGACACCATACCTCAGCACCCCTGCCAGTGTTGACTTCAAAATGATATCTAAATCTTAAGAAAACAAAGGCTTACAGCTATACAGCTGCGGACAAAGACGATGGTGGTCTCAATTCCAAGAGATTGCCATCAGTTCCCCCCGCAGAATTGACATAAAACGTGTTGTAAGCTCCGGACATGCAGCCTCAATTTAGTCCCCTAACCTTATCACATCATCCTTTTCTGCTTGTCTCTGTCCAGCCGTTTTCACCTGATAGTTTCATTTGTGTGAGCTTTCCCCGCGGAATCAACCGGCAGTGCGCCACATGAGCCCATTGTGGACACTACTTGGTTTGTATAAGGATCTAAGTTAAGCTTGAGTGTGGTACTTGTGCATGATGCGTGATGCACTTAAACGCCTTGGGATTATGTGGCTGCGGAATGGCTGCTATTTATCTGTGCTTATAATTTGCTTCACTGTTGCAGAAACCAGCACGATGATGCATGAACATCCTGGGCATGAATATGACTTTGCGTAGTGCTAGATCCGCTGCATGTGCCCGCATATTCCAAGAGCTGCTTCTTCGCCGCGTTGCAAGCCTGAGAATGGGTGTGGCCGCTACACTTTCTGTCACTTAAAGCGACATGGTGTCGAACATACCCTTCTCAGGAGCAAATATGGACGACCCCCTGTTCTAAATGTGTTTTCAATGCTGGGCATCCACGTTCTCTCTACCCGGCAACAGAACAACCTCTTTTCCCACCAGCGCCGTCGACACGTCACATTGGGTTTCATATAGCCACTGTCAGGCAGGAGCTATTAAACGTTAGGAGTACCTCGTGCCAAGAGATGACGTACGACGTCATGCCATAATCAAACAAGTACGAGCTAAAGCCCAGTAGCGGACGCAGCTGAGTGTGACGTCACATCTGTAACGCACGACCCGCACGCCATCTCAGGCGTCCCCGCCAGTGCATCTCCTGTCGACATCGGACACCGCCACCCCCACCCCCCCTCCCCCCCCCCCCCGCCAGCTGACCAGACGTCCCGCCTGCGGCCTGCACGCCGGGTCACCAGCTGACTGACGGCTGGCGCGGCGTCCCCCCCCCCCCTCCCCCCCCCCGCCAGCTGACCAGACGTCTCGCCTGCGTCCTGCACGCCGGGTCACCAGCTGACTGACGGCTGGCGCGGCGCCCACCGCCGCCGGCCTCGCATGACCGTACGGTCTCCTGCACGGGAGCCGGGCGATCAGCCGGCGGTGGGATCCCAGTACGCGGCACGTGTCGGGCTGGGGATAACCGTAAACGGTGGCCAAGAAACTGCCGCCTCTTGCGGGGGCGGGGAGGGGGGCACAGTCTCTTACCTCCCCTCCTCCTCATGCCATAGCTATGAGATTATCTTCGCAGAAGCCCGAAAAGAGACAGAGCTTTGACGTAACCACAGCGGAGTCAATGCGCGACTGACTAGTTCGATCACCAGCCACAATTATGCTAAACTGTTCTGAGTTTAGCATAATTGTGGCTGTTCTGAGTTCTGAAGAAAAAACTGAGTTCGGCTCCAGCCGCGGCCTCAGCGTTCATCACCAACGGCTGCAGCATGACAGTGCTATGTTGCGCACCGCTCAGGGTTAGCAGGACTGATTGTAAGCCCACTCTCCGAACCGCCACATCAGCCACAAGACTGGCGTCCCATGAATCTCTAACTCACCGGGCCTCAGCCAAATGGGTATCTTCATGTGGGTCAGCTGAAGGATCGGGTGTACGTCATCAAACCTTACACCTTACAGAAGCTGAAGGCCACGACCGCCTGTGACGCCTGCCGGAATGCAGCCAAAATAGGGGATAAGGTTGTCACCCGCCAGTACGGGGTAAGCATGCCCATGATCGTGTAACGCCGGGATCGCATCTAGCACATCTAGAACATCTTTAATAAACAGCTAAGACACGGGTTAATTGCCAATAGTTCACTGTAAACCGTGGAGTATACGCATTTTTGAAAGACCTGAAGCACCATCAACTGAAAACTGCCACTTCATACAACACCCGGCCAGGAAGGCTTTTCGAACGAAATCACCTCCCGGCTATCTTATAAGTTTGTAAGACTTACTGAACAAAAAAAAATACCTATGTGATAACTTTTTTCCACGTTCATAACTTGCAAACTTTGAACTGCTTATTTTTATGTAACAATAAAATGCATATTATGGCATCACAAGTATTTATTCAATCTTCCAACTTTCGGAAACCAATTTCAGTATGTAAAATATCAACTTATGTCGGATGTGCAGCTGAGCTTAACTTACCCGCAACTTGGCTTCTGTTGGCCACGCATAACTCGAAATGTGCAGGCACATGTCCCCCCCCCCAAAAAAAAACGTTTGACTCACCGCTTCCGTTGAAAATAATTTACGAATTGGACAAATCGGCATTGGTGCAACTCACTATTCTCTGGCCCGTACGATAACAGGGTACGACTTGAAAAGGACGTAAGCGAACCGTACTTTCGCCTCATGAAACTGGCTAATTAACCAAACGACCACGGCGACCAATCCGCCCCGATAAGAACACTGACAGCTGATCGGGGCTGGTTGTTGGTAGCTGGCTGGTTCGCTGCGCGGCCTTACTGGGGTGGCGTGGTAGAACTTGGCCACGGGATTCTTGTGGTCGTGCGGCCGGGGCTGGTACCGGACCAGGTCGGTACGGATCTCCTCATCCCCGATCACGATCGGCACGTCGGCCACCGCGGAGCCGTGCTTCTGGAGCGCCGCCTCCAGCTGCTGCAGCTCCTGACTGCCAGCCAGGTACCCTGCCGATGGGGCAATACAGATGCAGTGGTTCACTGTTACACTGCGGACGGAGCAGCACGGCCGCAGCTGCTGACTGTTACACTACTAACGGAGTAGCACGGCTGGAGCTGCTGACTGTTACACTACTAGCGGAGCAGCACAGTTGCAGCTGCCGACTGTTACACTGCTGACGGAGCAATACAGCTGCAGCTGCTCACTGCTACACTACTGACGGAGCAGTGCGGCTGCAGCTGCTGACTGTTACGCTGCTTACGGAGCAGTACGGCTGCAGCTGCTGACTGTTGCACTGCTGACCAAGCAGCACGGCTGCAGCTGCTGACTGTTACACTACTAACGGAGCAGCACGGCTGCAGCTGCTGACTGTTACACTGCTGACGGAGCAGCACGGCTGCAGCGGCTGACTGAAGGTCGGGCAACTGTAGACAAAGCAACACAGCCATATGTCTTTCGTGCACCTGTGGGCGGGGAAAATGGCAATCGACCATGGCTTTTCACAGCCATGTCGACTCACATGTTGTGCAAAGTGCACGACCGTACTCCGAAAACCAAACATCATGGTTCTCACGGGACCCGTCCTCTAAGGGTAGACCCACCCGGCCGTTCTCTAGGGCTAGAGCATTGTGACCGTTTTCCAGGGATACACCAACCCTGGGCTGTTCTCTTGCGATGGAGCATTACGGTCTCAGGAACGCAAACATCAGCACAGGTATGAAGCGATACGGAACATGCATGCCTCACGAACAGCCCAGGCTTTATGTGCCTACCGCCGCGCACTGATGGCTTCGGAAATGGTGCTGCACTACCGGGCGGGCGAGCCCTGAGTACGCACTGGTAATGTCTTACCATGAGAAAGTGGCAGCAGAGGAGAACTCTAGCCGCCTTACAATAACTGCAGGAAAACATGAGCGAAACATAGGCAATACTTTAATGCAGGCGTTCCCAACCGGGCGGGATGCCCCAACGGCAGAATACGAGTGTCTGAGGGGCGGGGGGTCGCGATGTAGCCAAACCGTGTCAAACACGATTAGCGCCCAAGCAGCGCCAGGCGATGGGCGGTGACTGGAAGATGGCATTGCTACATGCACTGTCATGCATCAGATGCAGTGAGCCAAAAATATCTGCTCGAGTAACCAAAAAAAACAACAACAATGTTTCACATGACATGAAATAAAACTTGAGATACTGAAAATTTAGTTATATGGTTCCATTAGCGTTGCCCGTATACAACTGCTGTGGAGAATAATTCCCCGAACCTATCAGCTTTTGTGGCCCTGTGCAGAATAAGAAGCAAAAATATGCATCACTTATACCAGTTGTTTTAATCGGGGGAAGGGCAGAATTCAACACATTTTCAGGGCAACATAAACCAAAACAGTTGGAAAACACTGCTGTTATACACACAGGCTTGTTTTCCACCCAAAGCAACCCGTATCATCCAGTACTCAGGACTTTCCAAACATAGCGCCTCGCATACTGGATCAGCCGTCCGTCGAACCGGTCCAACAGGTCGTCATAGGTCGTCTGATCAGAGTACGCCGATGCCCAGGGCCGTGTCGACGGTGGCCACGAATGGAAGTCATGTGCGCGCTGTCGGATTGGCTGATGATAGGGACCGGTCTCAGACGGCCTGGGCGTGGACCACGCCCCGGTGGGCGGGCCGTACGACGGCCGCTGCGCACCTCTCACTGCGCCCCCGGCTGTGTTTTTTCAAGACCTGTTGGCGGCTCGCACCGTTACCCAGGCCTCGCTCCTGGTGACCTCAAACCAAGAGTGCTCTCCGAGCTTGTGTGACGCCTGCACCTCCACCGCACCGCGATTGGTGGCTCCTGGAAAGTGTCATTCAACAAGTGAAAAGACGCGTTTCCGCATAAGATTTGTGACTTTCGGGGGAGGGTTTGCTTGGTCAGCCGACTGCCATTGGGCTCCGGTCACTGCCCCACCCCCACGGCAGGCTTGGGGCGCGAGCTCTGTACGCTGGCCGCGTGCAGCCGCCTACCGCGCTGACTTACCCAGCAATGGCTCGTTCTTGACGTCGAAGTCGGGGATGCCTGGGTCCTGCACCACAGAGGTGATGCAGCGCGCTCCACGCGAGCTCCTGTTCAGCAAACACACACTCCGTTACTGACAAATGCGTTGGAGCTCCTCGACACACATTTCACACACAAAAATGGCTCGTATTAGGTGGGCTTGGCGCCTATCATCGCCTTGGTTTCCTATGAGAGTAAAGCACATAATAATTCATTTTAACATGAATATGTCGACATACTGACGGAGCGCTCAGACGTATTACAAAAGTGCCGGATGAACAAATTTGTATCATTCATAGAGCTGCGACGTAAACATTGTGAAGCAATGCGATGAAGAATCTTACAAATGAATGGGGACGCTTATCAAACAGTACGATACGTGTGCCAACCCAGCATGTCAAAAATGTGCGAAACTGATAATCTAATCGCAAAACAACTACGATTGGCCACACAGTTTACAGTCTTAAGCCTCAACACGAGTGCTGTTCAAATGCATGGATCTCATCCAGCTCAAAATACCTTTTATTCGCTTTCCGTGCATAAAGGAAGTGACGGAACAATTTCACTCGCATGCCATGTCTTTGGAGCTTTACGACGCACTCAGCTGCTGAGGCTATATGACGTCGCCAGCCTATCATCCTGGCAGGAAGGGCGGGCACCGCGGGGTATCGGACCCCGTACCTCTGGTTTCCCAGACGTGCATTGGTTGACGCAGACGCATTAACCACTACACTGCCGGTACCCTCACTCGCATACCAAAACCCGGCCCGGTCTTAGAGATTCAATAGTAATATCTAAAGGAAGAAAGAAAAATAAAGACCGGCTTAGAGCTCATGATATTTCTGCCAACGCCGACAAAATTTTTCACGTCGTTGGACTTCATAAATCAGGGAAACAAGCAAACAGCGACGTGGATCAAGCAATCTATAACAAACGGCCACGCGAATCAGGAGAAACTGTAATAAACGGCAACGCGGATAAGGGAAAACTATGACAAACGGCGACGTGGATCAGGGGAAACTATGACCAACGGCGACGTGCATCATTCGCGATTTCAAAGCACGTTCTGGTTATACCACTCGTGGAATACTGCGAAAGTTCCAGCTTAGCAAAAGCTGATGCTCCAAGTGAATAACGAGAGGGGTTCACATATATGATGTAACCCGGTGGCGTCTTAAACGTAATGCCGGGGATCGAAACTTTGTTATCATATGAGCCGCTTAAGGAGCGGTTGCAGAAATCAATACCATCTGGCATACGCGGCGTGTTTTTTCAACCGTGGCGTGCATTACGCTACGTTCAATAATAGCCACAAAATTATGCCGTCGAGTTGGAATTTCACGGTGGAATGACGTGGGCACGGGTTACAAATAAGCACTGCTTAGTGCAAACTTTGATGTCAGAAATCAATACCATTAAAAGGTTCAAGCTTAACGCCAACACGTTATCCTTCGGTTTGCCGTGATTTCAAATGGTAATAAAGGACTATAGAAATGATACTGAAACGGACACATGAGTTTGGGAGTTGTCGCAGAAGGCCAAACCGAAACAACGCATGAGGCAACGCAATTCCGTGCTCAGATTTGAGTCCTTGGTGACCTGCTCTGAACAAGTGCTGAAAACATGGAAAGTCCACACAGCTAGTGGCTATGGAGCTGCTAGCAAGCTGTGTGTTAGGTTTACGCGAGGATGAAAAGACCGTCGATTTCCACCGGACGGGAGCTTTGAATCGGCGACCTTGACATGCACGTGACCGCAGCGCCATCTACAAGCGGGTGATACTGTAAGCCAATGCCAGAGCGCGGTGAAAACCTGGAGTTTTCCTTGTTCCTGCAAGTTCGCTGCAGGTCCGCATAAGTAACTTCCTCTGTGGGACGACGTGTATGACGCAAAACAGACCTAACGCCGGACACGTCCTTACGTGCCAGCTTTATGATCGCTATATGAACGGCAGCAATGCGGTTTTGGTTGTAACAATATGTAATACCTTAGCTTATAACAATGAACGCGGACGCAGGGGTGAGGTTTGTGAGTACACGAGGTACTTGCTGCCCTTTCCCTTAGATACCAAGGGACTTCAGAATCCCTCTGGACCGAGATCAAGGCCCCGAATGGCTGACTGGAGGCCGTATTAAACGAGTATGCCACATTTGTTGTACCTTTCACTTATTCTTAGATCCGACACGTACGATTTATCAGCAATGCCAGTATTCTCGAAATACTTCTGAATAGCTGAGAATTTCGATTTGAGGAAGCCGCTACTGCGCAAAAAACTCGCTGGACTCCCTGCTCACCAATATCAAGGAAATACACCTCATTTGCTTTGCTTTACCAACGTGTGTGCTCTGTTATGCTCGCAGCACACGAATGCGTCGAACTGTTGGTGTGATAAATGTTGCGAAAGCTTGAAGCACTGTTTAAACAAAACTATATGCGAACATGAAGAGCCACAAAAGATATACGAAGAAGAGGATACATGAACAAAAATATATATGAACAGGAAGCTATTATCTCGAACATTCAACAAAACGTTATACCATGGCTTTTACTTCTCCTTGCCGCTTATTACAATGACTCTTTTCAAAGCGCACTCTGGCTCAGGAAAAAGAGTATCAGAAAAACCGAATAAAGTGGTCTAAAGTGACGCACTGGCCCAAACCTTCAAAAAATGCATTTCTCGGTGACGGGCCCTTGCCATCCGCTGTGCCAATCCCAAACATTCGTTTGTACTAACGTCATTCAGTAACAGCCGACAGCGCCCCAGCAGATTATGCCATTATCATGCCGACGGCTGTTGCGATTGCAGGGGAGAAGCGTAGTGCTATTGTAAAACGTTGACGGCGTATTTTGGGTGGAAAATAATTAGAATTCATGTCTTTATCATGTCATGATGGTGCTGCAATAGCACTAATCAGTGTTTTATTATTAGGCGTACCTGGTCCTGAGGTTTCACTACAGCATGTTTTTGAAACGTGCCCGACAAGTGGGACACAGCCCGGCCAACAGAGCCGGGCCCTCAAGGGCCAAGGCCCTAGAACAGATTCCAGGGCGGAGCCCGAGAGCATCAGAGCATCTCTTGCACAGGGCGGGCCCTTGGTGCAACACAGGGGCGTCACTTTGCATACTTGAGGGGGGGTTCAGCCCCCCCCCCCCCAAATGCTGATTTGAGCCCAAATCTCCTCTGAGCCGCCTCGATGCTTGTGAGCAGACGGAATACTGTGCTAAATAAAAAAGAAAAACTATCTGAACCATTGGTATACTAGGTAACAGATACCTAAGCAAATTTCTATTGGCACCATCTAATTTTGTACCAAATGGTATCTGTATATACGTAATGTTTTTGTCGCGTTACCTCCTGCATATATCAGGCCAGTCTGCAAATGTTTGACAAGTTTTGTGTCAGGTGATGACATCTGGATTGATACGAACAAGAAAGGACTGCAGCACGTAGCAGCTTTTAAAAGTACAGAGTGGTCCATATTAAAGTTAACACGCGCCCGGGTGGCCGGCTAGATACCCTTCGCTCGGGTGGGGGGGGGGGGGGCGTCAATTTGACCCCTGCCTGAGATCTCGGGAACATAAATGCTAGAGACACCAAATTTACAGGGTGTATTGGCCTGTACGTGAACTCGCTTAGGTCAAAGTTTACGGTTCCGTGTCATGACCTTCGGGTCAAATAAGGTCAAACAAGGCCAAATTTCAGGTTGGTCTCCAAAGTGCCCTCCCCCCCCCTAGAACCAAGATAGCTGTTTCTAAGCAAAAGGTCACATGCTCATCTAGGGGCGGTGACCTTGTTTGGCCTTTTGAAGGCCATGGTGACCAAAATCATACAAGACTGCTCTGAGTTTTGCATTTGAATAAGCGACAAAGATTATGCAAGGTGATATGTTTCTAAAAACCAAATGTTGGCCTGGGTCCTTTTAGGTCAATGACCTATTCTGACTTCTACGAAGTCCATGGAAGATGTATAATGCGGCTCCTGCTATCAATAAATTCGAAATGAGCATCATAGACTACCCCATACAGCAAGACCTGGAGTAATAAAACAGGTTGGTTATGACCTTGGTCTGACCTTCATACCTGGCCTAAGGTCAACGTAATTTGCTCATTCAATAGCTGTGTTGGCTAACAAAGCATCTCAGAGACGTATGGCTTCGTTTAACACTCCGTTGTTGCATCAGATTGAACGATTCCCTTGGAACGGACTTCGCTGAGACCATAGCCTGACTTTGACATGCCATGGGTCAGCGACCTTACAAGGTGCATCTAATGTCAAACGATCCGCTATTTAATTTCGTGCACCTATGCAAAATTTGGCGCGGCTGCGCCACGCCGTTCGGAAACCATTCAGGAAAAACCTTCGGGGGGGTCAGTTTGACCCCCTCCCCCATCCGAGCGCATGTTAATGCATGCCTTCTCCAACAGTCCTAGCGTATTTAACGCATAACCGTGGATATGGTGGTTACAATACAAACACAATCAGCAACAGGGGTTATCAAAGTAATCCCTTACCAAGATTTACTAAAATGCTTTTTTCTGTGAATTTCACCCCATTCTAAGCTTTTCACAAAAAGGTTGCTCACACCTCCACCCAACCGAATTAAGACAGTGATACCCCCACCCCGATAAGATGAGAGCCCTACGTCACTCAAGAGCTCGAAGAACCTTGAGAGGGGATGTGTGGGTAAAGGGCCCGAGTCGGCCAGGTTTGTATTTGTTTGTAAGACAGACAGTGACGGAACCTCTCGTCAAAGGGCCTCTTTCGTTGGTCAGAGCCCTACAACAATACCAGGAGACGTAAGAAATAACAGTGAGAGTTCACGATAGGACCATACCAGAGCCTCGGGTCAGACAGGTAGCGTGCTTTTTTACCCCGTGACGCATGGAGGACCCTTCAACCCGCTTCGACCAGGGAGCCTGACAAACCGAACTGGGTCCCTATGCAAATTGTCAAGTTGCCTGTGACGGCAAGATCTTTTTGTGTCAGTGGGGGCACCCGCGTCGACGCGGTGCCAACTGCTCCGATCAGAGGGCCTCCTGCATCAGGGGGGGGGGGGGGGGCGGCCCCGTGTCGGCAGAACGGTAGTCGGTGAGAACCCCAGGTTAGAACGAAACGCCCGACAGTCCATAACCGGCAAATGCAACGGCTCAACATCATTTCACACACAGATAACCCAGTGCGCGAGAGATAAAGGACCTCCGCAGTGCTCAATCCATGCAGGCCTCAATGTCAACGCCCCCCGGCGTTACTCGGTAAAACACGACAGAAATTGGGGCTGCGCTTAATAACGTGAAGCAGGTCCCATTATTTTTTGGGGTCGGCTTTTCACCCTTTATAAAGCACTTTCCCCGCCCCCTTCCAAGACTTGCACGGTCAAGAGAGATAACCAGTTGCCCAGGGCTTCAACTTCCCGCGCGCGGTTTTTGTGACGCATCGTACATCGTACATTGTCATGGCTGGTCACAAATGCGTGCACAGCCCGCCCAGACCTCTTCCAGAACTATAAGACAACGAGGAAGAGTATCTGCCGCTCCAAAGCGCGGTAAATTCCGTTCAATGGGGGGGGGGGGACATTCTTTCTTGGTGGACGCTGCACGGTGGGTAAAAACACGCATCCTGAACACCTTGACCCACCTGGTGGAGACAAGTCTCCGAACAATCGTTGCTGCCGCCTGCATGGTAGCCGCGCTGACTGCTCACGGGCGCCCCCACAGATATTGGCGAACTGCCCCTGACAGCGACAGATCGATGCCCGATCTGCTCAGCCTTCCAGCGTCGGACTTCCGCCAGACGACTTCTGACACCGACGAGTGTGCGACCCTCTGCGGCCTCAGCACCAAATGAAGGCTGAGGACCGAGCAAAAATTCCGATGCACTCGGTGCACAGCGTGCGGCAGACCCGTTGCCCTCCGTTCGATGACAACTGCCCTGTCCTGGGCGCGAGCCGGGCGGAGTCTGGCTGGCGGGGAGGGGATTGGGCGCAGGCGTGGGGTGACGGCGATCGTCGGCTGAGAGCCAACTGCGCGCGCACGTTTATGGCGTGGTCGGTTCTAGGGTGTGTGATTATATTAGTGATATCACTGGTGTATAATGTAAGTGTAGCAATGTTCAGTCATAACACTTAGTCATCGCCACAAGCCACCGAAGTAAGCGAACTCAATAAGCACATTTGTTTTATTTAATAGAGCTCTTGATGATAGTTTTCATCATCAGCTGTTGCCCAGCTGGATGATTTGACATTTACTGCGCACTGAAGATGTTCAAATTAGCACAGGAAGCACCCTCCGGTTTGTTTATCTTTCAGGGAGGTGGTGCTTCCATTGTAATTTATAGTCTTTTCTACATGCTGGTGCAATACATTCCAATGTCATAGAGGAAGAAACTCACAGAATCATGCAGAATTCAGCATCACCCCAACGATCTTAAAAATATCGTGGATATTTTCTCAAACTCAAAGCTTATGATTAAAATTTCAGAGAAGCTATCACTTCATTAATAAGGATTCAGTTTGAATTAGTTCTGTGTGATTGTGTACACCCTCCCAGGCTTCCAGCCAGTTTTACATCTTTAAAACTGTAGAGTTCAAAATGCATCATTTTGCTGTTTCATATTGTTTATTTTTGTTTGAGTGCATACCATTGTGATTATGGCTTGTGGCCATCAATGGATTGTAAAATGTGGTTGAAAATTGTGAACCTTATGACTCATAAACTGTGTGGAAGGTCACTCAATGATCTGGATGATCTTTAAACAGCTAAAATGATAACACTGTTGTCATAGCCTAGCAGGAGGCCCTGTACCTACCATTGGCAATATATGTGTGGTTGTTGCCTTTTTGGCCCTTGGTAACCAAATGTATGTTTGTTCCTCTTTGTTGTATCAGTCCAATATATAGCATGCAAATGTAGCATGAAGTGGCCTCCAATGTGTGTCCAAACATATTCTTGTGGTGGTCTTGATGTGATAAGCCTCTATGCTGGCAAATCTGCCTGGAATTGTTGTTTAGCTAACTTAAGTTTAACTTCTGCCTTCCCAAGTTTCTATGAAGAGTACTAGATCATAGATTGATAACAATGGCAAAACAATCTACAAGTTCAAATAACATTATGAAAGGGCTTGCAGAGCATGGCTGGTATTGGTTTGCTTGCTATCAGTTTTAGTGTTTCCCTGCATCAGGGATTGAAGCAAGCTGAGAGCTTAGGGTGTCATGTATGTATGTATGTTATGTTTTTTCAAGCAGACAGTGACAATAGAGGGTCATGTCTGACATCCCACTTTCCTTTTTTCATGCTGTTCATTGACCAAATGGCTTGCACAGATGCCTTGGTATACAGAGTGCTAAGCTAGCATCAGGCCCATTGTGGAATCACTTCTGAATCAAGTTAAAGGTGAATGGGGCTGCATGCAAATTTGGTTCAGTGGTCACAGTTGTTGAAAATTGCAGTTGAATTACTTCCTGAATCCAGGACATTTAATATTAATGAATACTATCCAGAAGACAACTTTTTTCTGTGTAACACAGGTAGTAAGTTGCAATTTTGGGGCCTTGACACCTGTAGTCTCCCAGTCCTAACCATACCCTTCACATCCATACTAACAGGGCAGATTGACTCTCATCATCAACCATGTAAATACTCAAGAGATTTTGCTGAATCATATGGAGTCAGGTGTTTTCTGTGCAGAAGTGAACCAGCTGTGATTCTGTAACATACCATGTAAATCGATGGAGTGAAGCCTATCGGAATCCAATTCCAGCCCAAATGTACACTTTTCTCCTAGATTTAAGTTCAAATCTCAGAGCTTGTTGCTTGGATGATGAAGCACTAGCAAATTTGTGCTGCTGCAGAATACCAGCCAATCATACCTCCTGTCAAAAAGCCAGTAATGTTTGCACAAGATCATTGCACGTCATACAGTCCTAATGACACGACCGTCCGGTGCCAGGTCGATCATGTTTAGTGGGTTCCTAGAGAACTTTGCTTTGTCGGTTGGGCGTGACGCTTTGCAGACGTTTTTTTTTGGGGGGGGGATTCGTAACAGGTATTAGGGGATCCATACGTGTGATGGAGAGGCCCAAATACAATCCACCGCTTCAAGTTTGTTTCTGGGATCAAGACTGACGTGCAATTGGAGCCCGCCGCTGCGATGGCGTGGGGGCATGGCCCCACAAAAAGATGAAAGTTCCACCCACGTACTCTGGTGGTTGTATCTGGTGTTGCTGGTTTGCGTGTCCACTCTCCATGATACCTCTTCCTCATACCCCGGATGTATTTAACTACCAGTAAACTTATGTGAAAGTGTCGCGACTAGTTACAAAAGAACATGATCTCTCTATTGGTTGCCCTCGGCGCATAGCTTCTGAATTTCGGTCGGCGGGAAGCGATACGCCCGCGGTGCAGTTATTGATGTCAGATGGCGCCACCACCGCACGTGGACCTGGTAAGATGGCGCTCCGTATCCCGAAAGACGCCACTTACTGCGCTTAGGGACAGGACGCTTGGCTCCGCGGTATTCGTCAAGGAGGGCGGAGGGAAGGAGGTGACCCTCTCAATTTTAACTGTCTTTGGGCTATCGGAATTCGTGTCCGTTTCAGCTAAATGTGTCGAAATGTGGACATATTCGCCCGATGAACCACATATACTTCTTGTTGCCAGGAGTCGTCTATTTGTGCGGCGGTTACTTAGCAACGTCAAGATCACCGTTGTAATTTCGCATCCTACCATAAATACAGAATTGCACAATCGACACCAATCGCCGCAAATCATAAAGGTACTTCATATTTCCAAGGACACAGGCGTACACTGCAATACGATTTCGTCACCAACACAACTTCCACCCTGAGAACATCCCATAATTCCTGACATGCGTATCACTCGAAGTAGCCACACTTACACGATACCAGGAAATCGACCCTTATCATCGGTCAACAATCCATGCTTTCCAACTTTTTATTATTAATTTTGTATAACTTCCAGCGCATTCGCAAGCTAAAAGTCCTCTCCAACTATCTCCATTTTCAACATCGATGCGGGCTTTAGGAACACTATTCTCATATGTATGCAGGAGTAATCGATGGGTCAGTTCGAACTTCTGACAAAATTTCCACTGATTTGAGAGCAAAACATACACACCATTTAGTCCAACTCCGTGAAAGGCAGTGTCCCAACGTCTTAGAGCTTCGAAAAGTACTCTGAATTCTGCGCGCGGTACATAGCGGAACATTTATCATGGAGCACATTAGTCTCTTCAGTCGAACAGAAATCGCAAACTGGCAAAATTTTAGGCGTTGCGAACGTAGAGTGAGGAGACATTTCTGTCATGTCGAATCATTGACAGCCCTAATCGCCCCCTCTCCCTTCTAGACTATTGTTTTAACCGTTCAGTAGTATCGTAAACTCGTCCAGTCCCCGCGCACCCGCACTGTCCACCCACCATATTTCGAACCGGACAACTTGTTAAGGACGTTCGTTAAAGTTTTGAACACACTGCGCTTCCGTACCAAGTGTCGTTAAGGCTTCCTCCGTACGCAAAGGCGTACGGACGCCCTACATGACCACTTGCACCGGTCATGTACAACTTGTGACGTCTTGCTACGTCGTAATGTGCGACCTCGACTTCGGCAGATGATCGGCTTTGACATCCCAGGAATTTGCGAGGCCCGCCCCATCTTGCCCTGTACATTGAGCAGGATCGTGTAATTTCTTGGAGCTCTGGTCATGAAACGGTCCTCTGGCTGCCACCACCGCCTTCCATGGACTGAAACCGCATTTCGGACGCTAGTTCTGAGCAACCCTTATACGAGTTCGAACTAGAAGGCGATTTTGTATGTGTATTTGCCGCATTAACTCAGCAACCCAGCACAATTTGATGTCGAGTCAACAGTGACCTCGAAACTCGCACCAATCATACGCACAAGAAAGCAAAGAAACGCCCGCCGATGCGGACACTGAAAATATGTCCAGAAGGAAAGCAACACGGGATATACATTGGGCCAATTCATCCCAAAATGCACCATGATCACACCGCGCAGAAAGACGCCAACCAAGTTATGTTCGAATCATTCGAACGTCAATCTATCAGATCTACTGGTATACTAAAATGGTACACGATCCTAATCTAACACGCATCTGGATTAAGCAGTCATTTCTAAAATAGCGCGATCAGCAACCACAGCCCACGCTGACCTCTGTGCGGGAATAAACATGCCTCGATTCTTACACGGCGATGAATTGTCTTCCATATGTGAACCAAATGTTTCCAAAGATACCCAAAGACGAAATCCGAAGTGTCAATCAAAACCAGCGAACAGTGCCGCGAACATCAGTCCGGGAGCTTACATTATATGCGCGGTTTGGGAACTTACCGACGAAAGAAACACAACATTCCGGCCATCTTTCCCTCGTTGCTCAATCTGGCACACTCAAGTCCGCGCGCGCACGACCATCGAGCACGAACGGCCCATGTTCGTGGTTCCTGAGCACGTACGCCAGGGCCAACGCACACAGAGCGCACCTACAGGCCATAGACGCTCTCATCGCTGTAAGCGATGTATAGGAAAAAGTCCTCCTCATGATGCTCCTGAAACAAATCAGCACCTATCACAATGACATTTTGAAAAGCATAAGCAGTTGCTTGCACTTTCGCTGAAGTTAACTGACCGTGGAATGTTTGTAAACTGATGTTCCCACGTCTGTAAACAAATTTAATTCAAATCGTATCATACTGCGGTATCACGCAAGATATCATTGACAGTTCGCGATGATTGATCAACTGCAAACCATGTTTAAACCAGTGACCTGTGGCACCTAAAGTGTGCATATTGAATGACTCAAGGACGGTATGGAAAATTTGCGGCACTTTACGCATAATAAACGATCCCGACTCAAGGCCTAAGCAAATTCCGTTACCCAACGGAGGCTGCTACGCAGAGCGTTCGGGTCTCGCCGTCATCTGTCGGAATACAAACCCGCGCGCCGCTCTCGCCACGTTCCTTACCTGATACAGGGACCCCATCGTGGCCGAGGTTGGAGGGATCACGTTGTTCACGAAGAAGAACAGCGCGTCTTCTGGACGCAGGTGGATCCGCTTTCTAATCAGGAAATAGAATTGCCCAACCGTCAGATCCGAGGGCACCAAATATTTCTTCTTGTCCAGGTCGCCTATCCTGGCCTTTGGTGCTTTCTCTACAATGACCTGAAATGTCAATTAGGTGAAATAGGGTGCCGGTAGTGTAGTGGTTAACGCGTCTGCGTTGGCTACTGCGCGTCTGGGAAACCAGAGGTACGGGGTTCGATTCCCCGCGGTGCCCGTCCTTACTGCCAGGGTCAGAGGCAGGCGACGCCATATAGCCTCAGCAGCTGAGTGCATTGTAAAGCCCCAATGACACACACAATTACGTGAAATATGGCAGACTTGTCCTGAAAACCTCCCCACTGTTTCAAATACTGCTCTCTTGCAGGTGTGAGATTGTTGGAAAACTAGGCTTTTGCAGTTATTAGCAAATGTGCCATTGCTTTCAAGTTGATATGATGCATGGGAAAACCTAAAGAACCTTGGACAACAACATGGCATTGTCCAATCTCAAACTTTAACCTAAGTGAGTTATCATGCAGGACAACACATTTCAATTTGGTGTCTCTAGCTTTCTTAGCTCCCAAGATCTCAGGGATAGTCAAATTGACCCCCTACCTGAGTGAAGGGTATCTAGCCAGGCACCTGGGAGCATGTTAAAGGACAAAGTTTCATCAAAGCATTTCAACATGACACTAACGTCACACATGATGGCCTTTGCATCAGACACACCTTTTAATTGTGAGTCGACTTCATGGAGCAATTTAATGGAGCATAAGTGCAATTTATGGGGGACACACCTCCATATCTGCAACTTAGCTGTCACCAACTCTTGCAGGTTGCTACAGGAATAGCAAGACAATTTCATGCCTTGAAAACTCAAAACTATGCTCTAAATGCCTTGACAGCATACTGGTAACATACACATCCAGGGCTCTGCAGTCTGATGGTATGACATGAACCAGCATACCATAGAGAACCACACAACTGTATAGTGACATGCTCTGACCTAAACCAGGTCAAATATTCATACATGCCAGAATCTGTAACGTGCCACAATGCAAGTTGCATAACAATGACCTATCCTGAAAACACTCTTGAAACATCAATATATGAGATAGCAAATGAAGCTGCCTAGAGATGGCTTTAAACTTGTTGCTGAAACAAAGTAGAGAAAAATACTGATAGCAAATACTAATAACCTTAACTTCATTCCCCCTGACATAATGTGGAAACAGGCATGCTCCCTATGGGATATGCAGGGGCATGCATACCTAATAACCTATCCAACATCAAACAGTATTTGTTTAAAAGCCTGTCAGGACTAATGTGCTGGTCTCATGTCAAGCATACTACCATTCCTTGCCCTTAGGCCCTGCCATCATGCAACAAAGCTAGACAACTGACCTAGGGTAGTAAAAGGATATCCATAACCTATATCACACAGAGAGGGGAAGGGTGCTTATGACAGGTCATGGTGTACCAAAGAATGAGGGTTTATTTACTGTAACCCCACACTTTCTGTGGTACCAAGCCATGTGGCTACATAGTCCAGTCCATGGTCACAGCTCCTAAATCTTATGCTAGCCTTAGAATGCATCTAGTGTTCACCTGGTCAAAAAATAATTCCTTAAATCGGGTCAAGCATACAGCTTTTAATTACAATTCATCCAACTTTTTCACCAGCAGCTCTTTTGAATACCACAAATTTTCTGCAAAATCTTGGGCTTTAAATGGGGAGGTGCAACTACAAACAGGAGGTACCAATGAGCTTATGCATGCATTAATGGGACTAGTCCAATGGGAGGCATACACTATAATTTGGAGTGCACAGTTACTATGATGCAATTAAAGCTTGCAACATTATGACTTGATAAAACACAGTTCAAGCCCATTTAAGGGGAGTTAAGCTCCTTGATGAGTATGTGCCGGACCCCAACTCCTTTGTTTTCAACAACTCTGTGAGCGGGATTTGACCTTGACCAGCAGCGCCATAAATCGAAGTCTGTCCAATTCCGTTCCAACCATGGGAGAGCTAGCTTCGACTATGATGACACCATCGATACCGCGCAAACACAACAACCACTCACTGGAACCCTGTCCGGGTACTTCTTCCGAATCTTCTCGCCTTCAGCGCGCCTCTTCTCAAATGGGTGCTCTTCCTTATACTGCCACTTCATTCTTTAACCCTTTTCCTAGGAAATAAACTAGCACAATGCAATGTGCAGCGATATCTCGACGCGACCTGGTACAAGAACCCAAACGCAGACAATTTTCTGTATGATTACCCTACGCCTCACGACGACACCCCCAACAAGACTACGCAATAACACGACAGAGCAATGAGTCACGCCCGAGTCAACCAAGGTTTCAATAACGAACAGTAAACGACGTTGGAAAGAAACTAGTTTCATGTATATACGTAGAATTAACATATTTAACAATTGTATTACAAGCCAATTATAAATATATATGTTGAAAACAAACTTTGGTGCTATAAATCTTTGCTTTTTTAAGAGTATAACGTTCTGGATTGAGTTGGTTGCCTTCGCAATGCTTACGGCCTTGGCGCATGACTATTAGCTCCCAAAAGGCCAAAAGGCTGCCAAATCTTGCTAGGACTTGCGCCGACTGGCAAGATTCGGGAAACAAACGATATTAGCCGAAACCGAGGTGAATTTTTCTGCTGCTTCTTGTTTCAGCGGTGTCCTTCGTTTTCGGTTTGGAAGATGGTTTACTTCCCGACTTTGACAAAGAAGTGGGGCAAGTTCATGGCAAAGTACGTTTTTTTAGCGTGTGTTTGAGTGGTTTTAGGGATTGTTCCCCTGTTCGGTTCCCCTCCATTGTTTTGAGGAACTACGTCATTGCTTAATTCAATTCATACATCAGCTTTTACGTAAAAGGGACACCTTAGATCGAAAGGTAATGAACACTTGGCTGCTGTTTCCTTTCTTAATGATGGCGTCATAATTTCGCAGCAAGTTACCGCGCATTTTAATACGGGCCGCGTTTGATCTGTCGTCAGCATGTTTGTAAGCACCAATCATGGCCCAGTAGCTGCCCTACGTGACGTTAATGACCACAAAATCACGTGACCTGTGACGTCATGCGTCGGCCAACGATGATGCCGAGACTTTTCGTCGGACGCGTGTAAATGGACTCATGAGTACACCTAGTCAGAATAGCTACTCTGCTTGAATCAACCACGAAGTGGACTTGCACAGAATGCCACTCCTGTGCAAATCGACCCAGATCTGAGTTTCTCTTTACACAGAAACGCACTTGTGTGTAAATCTACTTGTTAGTGCATCTACACAAGTGTGGCTTCAGGAGTAAATCGGCTCAGATCTGAGTGGATTTACACGGGAGCGCCATTTTGTGTATATACACTCCGGAGTGGATTAAAGCAGACGAGCTGTTCTATGTAGTTGCACTCATGACGTGATATACACAGAGGCGCCAATCCGTGTAATTCCACTCGCGAGTGGATTTAAGCAGAGAAGACGCCCTGTGTAGATCTATCCATGACGTGCTATACACAGAAGAGTCATTTTGTGTAATCCACTCGCGTGTGGATTCAAGCAGAGGACAAGTTCTGTGTAGATGCAGCGGTGATGTGATATACGTGGGAATTACATCGTGATGTGATCTTCACAGAAGGCAGAGCGTATTCAACGGAGCGAACTGGCAAACTATCTATGACTTGCTGAAGTATGAAAATGTATGATTTTAGTAGTCAAACGAACGCACAAAAAATTGAAAAATATGATGCATTTGCCCACGCATAGTGCATTTTTGCATTAATGAAGTGACACATGCGCGTACTTGATTGAGATCATGTTGTCTAGGGACACACACACACACACACACACACACACACACACACACACACACACACACACACACACACACACACACACACACACACACACACACACACACACACACACACACACACACACACACACACACACACACACACACACACACACACATATATATATATATATATATATATATATATATATATATATATATATATTATACATGTGTGTGTAGTATTCGTGCGTTCGTGCGTGTACGTGTGTATATGCCAGGAAAGGCAGATGCCGAACGCCGAACTTGTCATATTGTTTGCAAGGTACGCCATGCAGAACCTCATGCTTGTCCCACGGTGGTCTGCGCCGCGCGGCTTTCTTTCAGAGTCTTGGTAACGAGTGAGAGATGCAGAGGCTGACAAAGGGGCCGTTATACACACAAATTCGCCGGCTTTGGCCCAATGGATTTCCACCGGCATGATTTTGTGTGTTGTTTTCATTTTTAACTTCCTTCACTCGGGCAGCAGCCGGGAAAGCTACCAGAAAGCAATATGATTTCTGTATTTTGTTGGAGGCAATAATTGACAGAAGGGAGGTGGTGTTAGATGACATCAAAAACAACGCACCGGTGCTATTCCTTTTACAGTTGTTGAGTTGTTTCCAAAGCGATAGACCTCAGGGTATTTTCAAGGGGTTTCTGGGCTCTGCAGAGATATTCATGACCCCGTGCACGTTGAGTGTAGATGGAAATGGGGCTAGTAATGTTTTACCTTGGCCAACTCATGTTCGTCTGGGGGTGTTCAACATTCTGTCAGAAAGTGTTGGTGATGCAACTTATGCAAGTGTTAAGCATACGCACTGCAAGTATGTCCTATAGCCTAATCCAATAAGGTAATTCCATCCCCTCATGCAGTAACGCATCCTTGCCCAGAGTTCCGATGCGGCAGGTGTATTCTCGATCTCAGAGGTCAAGTTAGGTCATTTCCGGTGAACCTAGGGTCTTGTAATTAGCATATGTAACAGTTCCGAACATTCAAAGCGCAATGGTAAGAAATGTCCGACCCCGGCCCTAATATTTTTGAATGAAACTACCTGAAGCCATCTTGGGAAATATAGACTTCATTTGAAGAAAAAAAAAACGTTCCCCGGGCTGGGAAAACGCAATGCTGGAACATTGAATAACTCGGTAGGTAAAATGGAGAAATACCTGAAAACCTTCGTTAGGTCCTCACTCAAAAAAGTTTTTGGAACTGAATCGGCAAACCCAAACTTGGGTTGTATCTACGTTCATGCCTATGTAATATACATTCTGAATACGATTCGGTACCTTAACTGAAGTTAGTACTGTGACAATACTGTCCAACTGATTCACGCGCGGTACCAATGTGTGTGTGTTGGACATCCAGACGAGTCTTTCGTTGTTCGTAAATTTTAAATCGTTCGACTTGGGGCTAACTTATACCAAGAACTTCACTTTTGCGTAACGTTATGGGAAAACGTTGTCCAGGTTCAGGACACTTGCATACATCTGTGCCGGAAGAACCTCACGGGGAAATACAGAAATTTGCACACAAAAAAAAACACCCTAGTGCAAGACAATTGAAAACCTTTTTGCGATAACCTAGTCAGGTTACCGTTAATAATGAAACGCGGTAAATATTCTCTTCCCTCGACCCTTCACATACATGTTTGTTCGTGCGAAAGAGTTCGTTAGTATTACGGACCACCATCGACTTGAGACGTTAAAAGAAAAAAGTATCTATTAGCCAGAGCGTTGCAAGGCAAAGGTGAAAGAGGGGTTGGAAGGGCGGTGTCACACACTCCAAAGTCGTCGTCGTCGTCATCGTCGTAAACGCTGTCGCGGCTCGCGTCGAACCGCGCCGGCGGAGTCTGAACGTGGACTGCTCGGCAGGGGCCGTGCGTCCCCGCCCGCGTGTCCCCATAAACCCACGTGGGTTTAAGGGCTCCAGATGGTGGGAGCCAATCGGCAGAGGGGCCGCTCACACCCTCGCGGAGCCGCCACCGCCGCGCCGGCAGCGACGGCCCGTTTGCTCGCTAACATATCTTCCCCCTTCTATTTTCTTCCCTCGACTCTTCACAAACATGTCCTTGATGAAATCGCTTGCATTTTCGTACGCATATGATATTTGTATGTTCTGGCAAAGATATGCAAGAAAGTTGTGTGCATACAGCTGTCGTCCATCCTCGGTACCCATGACCTTTTAGCCAAATGACAGTACGCGTGCAGATCTTGTCAAGTTGTCACTCAACCGGGAACGTTCTGGACGACGTCGTTGAGTGGGCTGTACGTTAGATTGAGGTTGAGCACATCGTCACCGCCTTTTCCATTGATTACAGCTGTGTCTTTGGTTGTGTCTACCATGACGTCCTTCTGATAAAACTGCAGTGGTAATGTATTGATCCGAATTGGTTTGGAAGCTACCTTGCTGGTCGACGCTAGGTGGCGAGAAGCAGAGTCTTTCTCCTCTCACCATTCACGGTGTTCCTCAGGATCCTTGGTGGCCCTATCCTCTTCAGCATTTTTACAAATGAACCTCCATCTTACCTCCTTCACGGATGTCTAGTAGCAAGTGCCAACGACATCCAACTGCTAGATTCTGCTCATCCAGATCAACCATCCGCTTTGAAATCACGACAGGAGGAAACCACTCAGGTAGTTCATTCCTACTTCACATCTGATTCCCTTAAATGAAGACGACCAAAACAGTTCTTCTTCCCGGTACATCACAGTCATGAAATGAATTCTTATCTTTTCACCTGGACAGTTCGGGACACCAATTAGGCCTTTCGCCGCCCGTGAAGATGCTGGTGGTGGGGGGGGGGGGGGGGGGAGATCCTATTGCAGGAACCTTTTCTTGGGAGATCCTCATACCCTGTTAAAAACCGCAGCCCCATCCTTTTCCGCTTGCATAAAATTCGTCACAACCTAACGCCCGAGGCTCGTAAATCTCTTACCCAGTCCCTTGCTTTCCATCATCTTCCGCACTGTCTCTCTGTCTGGGGTGGGGCTGCGGCGCGTCACCTAAATCGAGTGCAAGGAGTGATTTACCGTGGGGCCAGGATCGTCACCGATGCTCTTCGGCGAGATCCAATGGCAGAGACTGTTCAAGTGCTGGGCTGGCGCGGTGTTCGTGATCTAATCATCCCCCGTGGCAGCCTCGCTGTGTTCAGGGCCTCTAATGACTCGCGGGTTCCGTTGGAGATCCGGTCCCTGTTCACCCCACGTACCGCTTTACGCCAGCGTGTCACCCGCGCGGCAGCGATGGGCGCCCTGGCTCTGCAGCCCCTCACCTATCGGCGGCACGCAGGTCTTTTTCGTATTTGCGCGGCTTTATCCTGCTCCTACCGACCATCACTACCTCTTGCACCAGCAATGTGCTTTGCACTAGTCTGGATGATATAGATTGTCCCGTTGTGTAATCATTGCTTGCTTATTTTATTATTGGTCAAGTTGTGTGAACGAAGGAATGGTTAACAACGTGCGTATCTGGTCGCGTCGTTGTTATG